GGCGGCCCAGGAGCACAAAGTAATGAACTGCTTGCTTTTCTCAGACTGCACAGCTATGGGGTTTGTTTGTTTGTTTGTTTGTTTACATTTCTCCTTAATTCTGTAGGTCTCTCTAACCAGTGCCATAAGTTATTCACTCATCCGAAAATATTCTTTCCCTGGTAGAGATTGCATACACACATGCAAGGAAATGACACGGGAGAGATGGATATTTTTCTTGGATCACAGTTTCAGACCATTTGTATGATAACCCCCTTTTTTTTTTGCACAGATGAAGGGAGTTTACCCAGGGAAACACACACGATACATGTGTTATATATTAGTACACATTAGTGAAGGGGCTGGTAATGAGTACATTGCAGGGGTAGTTTTCCAAAATGTGCTAAAAATTTAGCATGAGGCTGATATTGGCTCACTATTCTTAGCTGGTTATTTGTGGTGTTCATTTCTCTTTTGTACTTCCCTGATCCTAACAGAAAACCCTTTAAAAAATCAATTTAATATTTATGTGAGACAGCTCTTCAAAATCATGATGATATCATTTTTATACCCATTTTTACTAGATGTGATGTTAAATGCAGTTATTCACATAGGGAGGAAGGCAAGAGATGGCTGTAGCAAAATGTGTCCATGGCTGATCGATTGTTTATAAATAGGCCATTTCACTGCCCATCAAGAAATGGTACTCCTGAAAACAGTTGGAGCATCTGTCCTGCATCCCTTCTTCCGCTGTTCAGACCACTTTGACTAAGGAACTAGGTTTGACTGAGTGCAGGTCACATGATGGGGTAAATCCTGTTTCACTTTTATGCACCCACATAACTGGCCAATGGCCATTTTGAAATGTACCTGGGTCTGGATTCTTGTTCCATGTTCATCACAGTAAACTTGCCCAGGTAGGTGTGTATGTGCAAAAAGTGAAGTGAAGGGTGAGGAAGGCCATCAAGCCTTTTAGCCCGAACAGCCTAGTGGTTAGGACACTTGTCAAGATGTTACATTCAATTTTAACTCTGGTTGAGAGTGCAATGGATGATATAGTGACACCAATTCCAGTCACAACTCAAAAGCTTTATTAGGATATTCAAGAGCAAAGACTTATATAATTCTTTAAAGATAATGCTTATGTAGCCTCAGATTCAGGGAAGAAAACAGGTCTACTGGCCTGGCTTCTGTTTCCCTGGGGACTTGAGTTAGTTTGCTGAGCCTTGGAGAAGTTCAAATTTAAAAGTCCAAAACTAGAAGTCCAAATTTCCTTCCAGTCTGTGCCCAATATTTATAGATGGCTGGTCCCAAAATCCTAAGGAACCCTGTCTAATAAGATTTAACTAGATTTTTTGTGGACGCTGAAGGTGTCAATTAGGCCTGTGCAAAGCAGCTAGTATTTGCTTCAGATTCGGATGATTTGGGGAACGGTGATTCACTTCAGTGATTCGAATCACAGTCCTGAATTGATTAGGCCAAATCTGATTCAGAGATTCAGCTGCTGCCGAATTTCTGAATCACTGAGGCCCATCCCCTGCCCGCTCTCCCAGCCCCAGCAATGGCTGCCCTGCCCGCACCAGCTCCCGGCACTTGGGAATAAAAAACCCCAACTCAGCAGGTGCTGCCAGGTGGGGGGTGATCCCTGCTGCCCTGTGCTGCGTGAGGGGCTCTGCTCGAGCGCCCCCATGAAGTCCTGAGGCCGCTGCAAGAGCCGGTGAGTTCAGGGTGTTTTTTTCCTTAAAGGGCCAGAGCTGGGGTGGTGGGGGGCATCCATGGGGGACAGGGACTGGGAGAGTGGGATTTGGGGGGCTAATGGCAGAGCCCCCCATGCAGCATGGGGAAGCGGGGGGCAGCAGGGATTGCCCCCTGCCTGGCAGCACCCGGTGAGTCAGGGCTTTTTTTTAACGTCCTGAGAGCTGGGGCGGGTAGGGTAGCCCCAGCTGGGGATGGGGCCTGGCAGGTGTCCCTCCCCTACCCGCTCCTCCAGCCCTCTATTTGTCATCTCTGAGTCTGGCTCCAGCTCCCTGCTGCAGAGGGCAGGGATTTCCTGAATCATCAAAGCTCTCTGAATCTTTTCTGAAAATTCAGAGAGCTTCAAATCGATTTGAACCTTTTTATTGGTCCCCTGATTCGATTCAGATTTGGAGATTTGGCCACCAAAGTGGGCTGAATCTCCTCCAAATCGAATTAGCACCCAAAGTGTCGCACAGCCCTAGTGTCAATTAGTTGAGATTTGCATCCTTGGGAAAGCAGAGAGGATTCCTCACCTCCTTTCACTTTCTATCCTTGAATGCTGTTACCACTGGTCTGTTACCTCTCCACTTGAGTTTATGGTTTGACAAGGTGGCTTTGTTTTTACAACTTATCTAAAAATTTAACAGAAATAAATCTGTTAGACAAAATAACATTCAATACATTTGGTTACATTAATTACTACTTCTAATTATTTTAAGATGAAGCTTTGATATCAAGCACTGGGATTATTTGATGCATGGTTCTTCTTTATAGTTTTTCTTGTTAGACTTTGTGCTGTTTGATTGTGCCCAATTAAACATATGAATGGCTTTCTTCTTGCTTTGCTGATTTAGCTAGCTGTTGCATCTGCAAATTCATGCTATGGTCACTCAGGCAGGGCTGGGCCAGACTTTCTCAGTTTACACCCAAGTCTCTTGAAAATAGACAAGCCTGGCAACAGCACATAGCGTTGCCTTATGATGGGAGCAAGAGACCCAGATTCTAGGTCACCCACAGCAAAAAGGGGATATGAATCTGCATCTCCTTTTATGCAACCAAGTGCCCTAATGACCAGGGCACAGGTTAGGCATTTCCCAGTGCCCTGTAAAGCCTTCCTCTTCAAGTACACACACACATACTTGAAAAACTGCAATAAATTTTAATTCCTTTTTGAGACTGGTGCAGGCAGTGTGGCAGCTGGTTAAGCAGAGACCATGGAACAGAAAAGCCCCATGGGATAGTCCCGTCTAGCTGCACATCCACCAGGCTTAGTGTCTCTAGTGGGTTATGGAATAGAGAAAATCCCACACAATTTACTGATTCATTTTGATGCACTGGCTGGGGGAGTAGTTAGCTGATTGCACGATTTCACAATGATTACACACTTAATTCATACAACACAATTTTATTTTAAAACTCTTTGCTACGTATATAACACTGCTTAGACACAATAATTACATATATCAGAAACAATGCTCCGAATGCACTTCCTTCCCAAACAATGCTATAAGAATTAGTGTTACAAAAACAACTACAATTACAACTAAAAGTTAAATTTGAATCAATACTATTATTTTTCATAATATACTTACAATCCTAGAATTCCGAGAAGCCAAATACCAAAATATGGTTTCATTCCTCAGTAGTACGATTTAATGGGTTGGCCTCAGTAGTACGGTTCAATGGGCTCGCCTCAGTAGTACGGTTTAATAGGCTGGCCTCAGCAATACGATTCAATGAGCTGGGCTCAGCAGTGATAGGACTAAGTCCCCTTCCTTCAGTCCCTTTCGGGCGCTCCGCGGCTTCAGCGTGAACTAAGAGATTCGTGTTCACGGAGAGGTTGGGTCAGGTGATCAATCTGGTCCGGGCTACACTTGCGATTCTTCCTTCGTTGTTCTGCAAGTGAAGTCACCTCCAAATTGGGACAGTAAGTTACAGGTTTTTATTGAGTGAGCTGCCGTCAGTGGGCTCCTCCTACTCAATTTGTCACAACTCCCAAATTTGGGCTCGGATCTTACTCCACACATTCTTTTGAAATTACCTTTGTTGAGCATTTTAAATTACTCTTGGGGAGACTTCTTCCATATCACTGTAAATACCTTTTTTTTTTTACCAGTCTGGTTAAAGCCCTAGGCTTTGATGTCTCGGAACTCAGGATATTTGCTTTCTTTGTAAAAGACTTCTAAAAATACAATTTAAATTAAGGCTTTAAGTGAAGTCAGGCCATTTTTCACGTAGCCCCGAAACAATGAGCTAGATAAGGAGATAAATCCTATCTTCTTCCTGAAACTGGCTAATGGGCAACCTTTACAAACATTCGAACTATTTCATTCAATATGACACTTAGAAGTGTATTTTACAACCTCTGCTTCAAGGACACAACCCCCTTCCAAATTGGGAAGTGTGGAGGATCTCCAAGGAATCATCCCAAGGCGAGGCACAAAGCTCATTTCAGGCATATGAGTGATTTCAGCCCTCAGTGCTTAGCTAGCAGGACCAAACATTAACAGCTGTGCCTTTGAGCAGTGTACAGGGGTGGTGGTGGTATTCTCTCAACCAAGAGAAAGGCAATCTGAGAAGTCTCTTTTTAGCAAATGGAGAGGGACAGTGTGGACACGAGTTGGTCTGCAGGAGAGAAGTGGGTATTACAATAGAGGCACTGATTATTGCCACCAACCTGGGATTCACTTTTTCTTTGCATGTGTCACACAAGCATTCCCCACCCAGGCTGTCCTCCCTGCATAACCTGCTTTCTTCCTGTCTTTCTGTCTCCCTCTCCATATGGCTTTCACTAAACTTTACATACTTTTCATGTTCTCTCCATATTCAGAATAGACAGGAGTGACTAGAAGTTCCCTGAGGACACCAGCAGCCATGGCCTCACCAAGACCAGGGCAGGATATCCAAGAGGAAATCAAATGTCCCATCTGCCTGGAGTATCTGACAGACCCAGTAACACTAGAGTGTGGGCACAACTTCTGTCGAGCTTGTATCAGTGATTACTGTGAGAAATGGGAAGAACATGAATCCTTGGAGTGTCCTGTCTGCAGGGCCAAGATCCAAAAAGGGAATCTCCGTCCAAACTGGCAGCTGGCAAATGTAGTAGAAGGCATTAAACACTTGGAGTTTGTTCCTGGAGCGGAGGATCTGTGTGTGAGCCACAAGAAGGAACTCAGTCTGTTCTGTGAGGAGGACGGGGTGGCCGTGTGTGTGGCTTGTGAGAGATCCCCAGAGCACAGTTCTCACAAGGTGCTGCTCATTGAGAAGGCTTCCCAGAAATACAAGGTAGGAAGCACTCTGGTTTCATCTACTTCAAACCATTCCTCGTTAGATCAGAGTTTCACAGATTCTCTGAGCTACGTGTACTTCCAGATGTCCCAGCTTCTTCCCTCTCCCCCAGCAGAGGCTGGTCCCAGCAATTATCCTGGTGTATGCTGTGAGTCCCTCTGGGCTGACACAGGATGCTCTAGCTCCTAGGATTGCCCTGGCCAGCAGCACTGCACTGCAGGGGACACAGAGTTGCCCCTGGAGGTTTACACAAGGCATTTTCTCCCTTTGGAGGATGAATTAAAACATGTCCCTGGTGTTACCAAACCAGGGCTGGAGAGAAGGAGCCTGGAGTAGACCAGAGAAGTCCAGGTACAAGGCACTGAGAATGAAAAGCCTTGACTACCACCAGAGGCAAATTGATAAATGGGCCATCAGCATCTATGCCCAGGGCTCCAGCTGTTTAGATGCAACCACCATTAGTTTTCTGCAGGCACAGATTACGCAGAGCAGTCAGGACAGGCAGCACTTTGTTGGCTCCTGGAAGAGCTCTGCCATCATTGCCATAGAGAATACAACACTGGACTTGTCCTACAGGGTTTTTCCGCACCTTTTTCATTCTTGGTTAAACAGTTATGTAACATGTGCTGGCACACTAGGGCCATGTGATGCGCTACATTTTGGGTTCTCAGGGTACCAGTAGCCCTGGGAGCCCCTCAGGCAGACTGCTGACAGAGATGTCCCATGGAGAGGTGTGTACCTCACCCTTACAGCCCAGGAATTTGTGCTGAATCCGATTAACACATTATTCTTTATTATACACAGCAAATTTATATACTGAAAAAATAAATAAACAAAAATATAATAACAATAGTTAATAATACAACTAACAATTTAGATAAAATTTACAACTTCAACAATAGTTGGATAATTCCAGCACACTGGGTGGTCCCACTTGTAATAAACAACCTCAATAATTAAATTCACCTTGTTATAACCCTTTAAAACAGCCCTCTCCCCCGCCCTCCCATAACCCAGTTGATTTCTTTCTGGTCATAATCCACTTCCCATAACAATAAATGGCAACACAGCTATAACTATGACCCACCACTTGATGGCAGAGGTGAGGCTTCTGCTGTTCTGGGAAAATGGTCTCCTCTAATTCCTCCTGGTAACACAGCTGCTGCAGACAATAGCCTCCCTGTTGTTTCCTTTGGCTGATTGTTCTCTTAAGAAGTTTCCTCCTGAAAATATACTTTCTGCAAACACTACTGATTAGGTGTCCCCTCACACACCCCTCCTGGATTATTTTCTGTCTACCTACTCCCTCTCAGAGCTGTCACCCCCTCCCAGCACACCCACCTGTAGACAGGGATGTCCCTCTGCAGGTCTCTGACTCTGCAGCTAGAGCCTCCCAGGCTCAGATTTCCCCCCAGCCAGACACACTCATAGCCTGGTCATTAACCCTTTAAGGGCTTGGCTGCTTCTTCCAGCCCCTGTAAGCCTACCAGCCTTGCTTACCAATCCATCCCCACACTTTCTCTGGCACCTGTGTCCTTGATTGCACAGCTCCGAACTTGGTAGGGAATCAGCTTCTTATGGGATGACACAGGCTCTCCTCCATCCTGATGCCTTCTCTGTGGGCAAGTTTCAGCTTGATCTCCCCTGGCTTGGGCTGAGTCTGCGCCCCCCTCTCTCTGGTGCTGGAGTCTGCTTTTCCTAGCTTCTCATTGTCTTTTCCCTTTTTTCCCCTCTTTTCCCTGCCTCAGCTTTTACAGCTCAGTAGCAGTCAATCAGAGCTGCCAGTTTGCAGTGTGGGCTCTGGTCACAATTCAAAAGCTTCAATAAAAAGCATGCACTGTGCACTGCATACCCTTCTTCTAGTAAAGTGTATGCACCCTCTGCAAAGTTTTGCTGCCTTTCTCTTGCAGAGCTGTTAAGCACAGCTCACCCACTTGGCTTGCAACCAGGTGAGCTTTGCAGCTGTTACAGTTAATATTGGCCATTTCCTGTCATCAGTGGATGCAGGGCAGTTATTTTTAGGCTGTATGTCAGGGATGGGCAAAATACAGTCCATGGGCCAGATCTGGCCAACGAGGCCATTCTTTCTGGCCTGAGGGTCCCCTAAAAAAATTTAGAAAATTAAAATTTATCTGTCCTTGGTTCCTGTCAAAGATGATGGGAACCATGGGCAGTAGGACCCAGGGGAAGGCTGGTGGGCTCCTGCAACAGCAGGGCCTGCCCAGCCATGCCCCCTAGCCAGAATCCCCAGCAAGGGCTTCTGGCCTGGGACCCCGTGGTTGCCCCACACGGGAACCGCAGGTAAGGGTAGGGGGAAGGGCAGGGGACGAGCTGATGCAGAGCATGGGGGGAAAAGCGGCCCCTCCCCTGCCCTGTGGCTGCGCTCCCTGCTTCAGGTGCTCACAGCCCACGCGGAGCTGTCCTGAGCAGGCACAGGCAGCCCCGTGCAGGCTGTGAGCGGCTGCAGCGTACCACGTTTGCTTTAGTTGTGTTTCCTGTTCAAGACAATAGTTACCAGTCCTGTAAGAT